CCCCCCCCCCCCCCCCCCCCCCCCCCCCCCCCCCCCCCCCCCATTCGCCGAGTAAGCCTCCCCTCTTCGCCGTCACTTAACTCTCAGCGTCATGGGCGCCGCCGCCTCCCGACGCTCGGCCAAGGCCCTTGACTTGGAGGATCTCATCCAGAGCCCCGAATGGGCCGGTGCGCGATAGCATGACTGTGCTTGCCTTTCTTCCCCCTTCCTCTTCTTCCTCTCCTTTCTCACCACCTCCTGCTTGCGCCCCCCAGTGCGCATGGCCTCCGACACGCACCAGCGCACCACCCCCGACCGGCCAACCACGCAGCCCTTCCTCGGAGAGCCACTGCGCCCGGGGTGGCCACGCAACGCCGGGCACAGCCTCTTCCCGGCGCAGCCGCACCTGTTGCTGCCGGGCCCGGCCTTCTTGCGCCCGGTACAGGGGTCCTTCGCGCTGAACCTGGCCGATGACATCGAGGGCACCCCGTACCACTATTACTTGGGATCCTTCCTGCCGGGCGGGGCGCACTGGGCCAGTGTCCGGTACAGCGTCGGCTGGCAGCGACACAGCCTGGCCCTGGGGACGCATGCCCTGGCCGGGCAGCTGCGTCTGCAAGACGACCGGGCGGTCTTTTCCTTTGGCGACGTGGTCCGCCGGCCGTTGACCCTGGAGTGCTGGGCCACGACCGACATGCGCCCGGCGCTGGACCTCCTGGCCCACCTGGGCGCCGTGGGCCTGGACCGGTATCCGGGCTGGCGCCAGGGAACCGAGGGGGCCGTGTCGCGCTTTGTGGTCCCCTGCGAGGCGGGCATCAGCCTGACCTTGTCGACCGTCGGCGACGGGGCCAGCCCCGGTGGCGGCGGCGGCGGCGGCGGCGGCGGCGGCGGCGGCAGTGGGACCGGCTCCGGCGGCCGGCGATCGGCCAACGCGGCCGGGCACCCTGCCGGAGCCGCGACCATCACCGTGCCCACCCTGGCCCAGCTCCGGGCCGCGTGGGACCGCATGGCCTCCACCACCCGGGTGGCCCTCTACACGGGCCAGCGCCTGGAGCCGATCAAGCGCAAGCGTCGGGTCGAGCCCCTGCGCCTGTCGCTGACTTTGTCACACGCCATCCACCCCTCGGAGGCGGTGACCCTCCTCGGGCAGGTGACCCTCGGGGGGCGCTTTGCCTCGCCCTACCATGTGCAGGCGGCCGACCCGGATCCGGCGGCCCTGGGCGGCGGGCCGCGCCTGGTCCGGGTGGCCACCGGCTACGAGCCCAATGGCGCATATGACATTCCCCCGCGCACGGCCGTCACCCTGGTCGGGGCCCTCGGGTGCCGGGTGTTCCTGCTGCCCTGGCTGTCGCTCAGCATGGCGGCCGACACGCGCGCCCACCGGAAGGCGGTGCTGTCGTGGCGCGACGCGCCGGCCGGCGGGTCGGCCCACCTGGTTCTCAGCTCGGTGCCCCTGGTGCAGGGCCACTCGCGTTTGCTGGCCGGCAGCCTGACTTACGAGGTGGAGAAGACCCTGCCCCTGAGTGGGGCCCTGCGGAGTCTGGTGGGGGAGACATCGGTCCCGGTTCGGGCCCGTGTGCGTGTGGACTCCGACCAGCGCATTGGCATTGCCCTTGAGACGTCGCTCTCCACGGCCCGGCGTGGGCCCTTCAACTCCTCGGCCAGCCGCCTGGTGGCGGGCTTCCGGTATGTGTATGCCCGGCACACTGGCCAGTCGCGTCTTGGCGTGGCTCTGCATCTGGGCGATCGGTGATGGTGCTCCGGTGCAGGAGGGGGGGGGGGGGCGGGCGGCGGGCCGCATGGTGAAGCGGGAGGGAAATACAGCAACACATGAGCACAAGGCCGAGGAGGGCCAGCGCACTGCCGGAGGGGATGGGCCGGGCGGGCGAGGCAAGGAAAAGGGGGGAGGGGGGGGGGGCGCGGGAGTATATTTCGCATGGGTACAGGGACAGCCCGGTGGGAGTTGCCGGCCCATGATCAAGCCAGAAGCGGCGAGAAATCCACCTCCCGCCAGGCAACTGGGGCCTTGATGGGCCGAGCCAGCAGGGCCCGGGCGAGGATGGTACGGAAGAGGCCGGCCGGGCAGTCGGCCGGTGCCTCGCCCGACAGGGCCCGGTTCAGCAGCGCCTCCACTGGATGGGTGCCGCGGATGCGCTGGGCTCCATTGCCCTGGGGCCAGGTGTCGAGTCGAAGGTCGAAGGCCGCACTGCCGCGAAGCTCACTGGGAGGAAGGGGGGGGGGGCGGTGGGGCACACCATGTTAAAGATGGAGAGGGGGAGGGGGGGCGGAGAGAGAGAAACAGAGGAAGCGAGCAAGGCAGGCGAGACAACGGCGCCATGCGGCGCCCCGCAGGAGCAATGGGCGAAAGCGCACCCGGTCAGATCATGGACGGCCCCCTGGACGGCGGCCAGGACTGCCTGGAAGGCAAAAAGCCCAGCCAGCGGGGCGGTGCCCGGGTCGACGGCCCCCGGCACACGGGCCAGCACCGTGAACAGGTTCTCCAGCTGCCGCGGCCCCAGGGCCACGCGCAGGCAATCCACCGGCTCCGGCAGGGCAGTTGCCCGGAGGTGCAGGCGCGACAGCTCGCTCCGGTCAAAGAAGAGGACCGAATGCCCCGGACTGGCGGCCGCGGCCGGATCATCGGCCGGGCACATCATCGCCGCCAGGAGCGACTGTGCCCCATTGGGCGGGGCCCCGGCCGAGGCCAGGCGCGACCCGTACACCACCACCCCGGCATCCAGCAGGCACCGGAGTCCGGCCAGGATGAGGAGCGGCGTGGCGGGGCTCCGGTCGTCGGCCGCCGCCGCGGCATTGACCAGCTCCGTGACCGCGGCCAGAGCCTCCCCCTGCAGGCGAACCAGCTCGGCCCGCGTGAGCAGGTGGCCATCCGAGGCCCAGGTGGTGATCTTGGCCAGGACACACTCGGTGGCCCGGGCCACCAGCGCCAGCCACGGCAGCACGGCCATCGCCTCGACCGGGGGCAGGGCTCGCAGGGCGGCGGCCAGCGACCGGCCGGACCCCAGCAGCCCCGGCCGGAGGAGCCCGGTCCAAAGAGCCACCACACTCGGCAGGGTGGGATCCTCCCAGCCGGAAAGATCGCGCGGCAGGGCATTCTCAGCCAGCCAGCCAAGCAGCATCGCCGGGTCCAGCTCCGGGTGGCCGGCCGTCGGGCCGCCGAAAGCCGCCAGGGCCGCCCGGATCCCGGGGCCCGGGTCCTCCTCGGGCCCGGGGCCGGCCGAGTGATACCCATACAGGGCAGCCAGGCAGGACCAGTAGACCGCGCGCAGGGCCGCCGGCAGGGGAGGCGCCCCGGCCGCCGGGCCGAGCAGCGGAGCCACCGCCCGGGCAAACAGGAACTTCGGCGACGGGCCAAGACGCCCGCACAGGGCCATCTTCCGGAGGAGCAGCGCCGCTTGCAGGCGCTCGCCCAGGGCAAAGTCCCCGGGCCGGCCGGCGCCACCGGCGGCACAGGCCACCCCGTGCGCCAGATCAATGAGCGGCGCATCGACCAGGGCCCCGGCCCGGGCAGACCGGCCTCCCAGGTGGAAGAGCGCCTGCAGCACGGTCGCCCGGGTGCCAGGCCGGCCGGCGGCAAAGATCCCACGCAGCTCGGCCACCGCCCAGGCAAGGGCCATGTCGCCCTCGGGCAGGAGTTCCGCCAGGGCCTCGAGCAGGGCCTGCAGGCCGGCTTGGAAGTCCGGCCCCGGCAGCCCGGCCCCGGTGGCCAGCCACCGTCGAGCGGTGTGCACCAGCACCGGGGCGGCCCACCAGCCGGGCACGGCATCCATGCGGCCCAGGGCTTCCACCTCGGCCGCGGCATCCCCCACCGGCAGGGCCCCCAGTGCGCGGAGTCCCAGCCCGGCGAAGCGCCGGAGCAGGGCCAATGCCCGGTGCTCCGGGCACTCGGCGTCGGCGGCGCCGAGTGCCTCGACCGCCTCGGCGGCAGCCGACAAAGCGTCCGGCCCGGCGGCCTGCAGCCGGTCCAGGGCCAGGCTGGCTGCGGTGGCCAGGCCATCCGGCAGGGCGCCAGGCCACCGGTATCCGAGTGCCTGCAGCGACATGGCCACCAGGGCCTGGTTGGCCAGGGCGCTGGGGGTGGCTTGCCCGGCCGGCGAGCCGCCCAGCAGCCGCTCCAAGCTCGGGCCAGCCCGGGCCAGCAGCATGGCCACGGCGGCCGCTTGGTCCAGTGCCAGCAGCAGGGCGCACACCAGGGCCGGCCGGCGGAGGGGCGCAGCATCCCCCCCGGCATGGGCCAGGGCCGGTGGGATCAGCAGACCCGCAACGTGTGCCAGAAGCGGCGCCGCCGGGCCGGCGGCCGTGCGCCCGGCCAGCAGCAGCGCCGCCAGCAAGTCGTCTTGGCAGATGCCCTGGCACTGGTCCAGGCGCGCCATGCACTCGCTGACCAGGCGCATGTAGGGGGCCATGTCCACGGCCAAGCCATGCGCCGACAGGTGGAAGGGCGCATCCGGGCCCGGGCCCGGGCCCGGGCCCGGGGCCTCGGACCGGGCCCACTTCAGCCCGGCGGTGTGGAGCATCGGCAGGAGGATCTCGTCGATGACCACCGGGGCTGGGAGTCGCGCGCCCAAGTCCGACAGGGCTTCCAGGGACAGAACCCGCAGGGCATCCGCAGCCCGGGGGGCCATGTTGCCGACTAGCGTCTGGACGAAGGCCCTGGCAAGGCGGGGAAGTGGGCTGTCCTGGGGGGGCGCGGTGCTGGCGAGGGCGCGCGCCAGCGCCCCGTACGAGCTCGGGGTCTCCCGGAGGGCCGCGGCAAAGGCGTCCAGCACTGGCCGGCTGCCGGCGCTCGCCTCGGGCAAATCCATCCCCATGCGCAGGAGAACTGCCGTAGGGCAGGTCAGTGGCGGTGGGTCTCAGGGCACTGAAGGGGGATGGAGAGAGAGAGAGGGGGGGAGAGAGTGGGGGGGGGGGAGATGGCGAGACAAGGGGAGGTGGCAGACAAGAGCAGGGCGGCGAAGCGCACCATCCCACACGCTGGGCGGCAGGAGGAAGGCGGCCGAGGGCTGGCCGGCGGTGCGCGGCTGCAAAAGGGTGCTGAAGGTGGCGATGCAGCCGCAGAGGTCGATGAACAGATGCTGGCGCAGGGCGGCGTCGCCGGGGTGCGCGTCAAACCAGGCGCCGAGGATGTCCACACACTGGACGCCGGTCTCCGGGCGGACGAGGTGGAACTGGCCAGCAGGGGGGGG